ACCGTTGCGCTATACACACGTCCATTCAGTGAAAGCAATATGTCGCACAGACGCCAGAGATGCCACAGATTAGTAAACGCTAATCTAGCTTTGATCACGCGTTGAGAGTTCTCCTCGTCCACCCATCCACCAGCCGTTATGCAACTCCCAAGGTAAACAAAGCTTCCAGTGTCGTTATCCAACGAAAGTGTAGGAATGGGTTCCTGCCAATCTTGCAACAACACTTTGCACTTTGAAGTTGCAAAGGACATACCAAAGCGAGGAACCTCAATTAGCAAATGGTTCAACGATTCTTGAATCGTTGGTGCGTTGTCACCCAGTAAAGCAATATCATCGGCACACCCTAAGTTTCCGACCCTGTCCCCAGGAAGAAGCTCGATGCCAGCGTTAATTACGTTATGTAACGCGTTTTGTTGGACATCATGTATGGCAAAGTTAAAGAGAAACGGAGATAGGGAAACCCTGTCACACTCCACTGGTGACAGGAAACGAGGGTGAAAGTTCATCATAGGCTCTAACCTTTCCGGGGGTTGGTGATGGAGGGCTTTTAGGAGTGAGACATATTTCTCGAGTACTCCGCACCTCCGCAAACAGTTGCACAAAGCAGGACAACCGATAGAGTCGAAAGTCGCTCTGATGTCTTAAAAGACGACAATGGATTGCCGTCTGTATGCGTGGCGGTGTTCTAGTAGCTGACGGAGAGTGAAGATTTGATCTATGCATCCACGGCGTGCACGAAACCCGGCCTGCTCCTAATGGATTTACCTCTCACGGAATGGGCATAACCTGCGTAATAAAACGAACGCAGGCAGCTTCGGTGCTATTGGAATCAGACTTATGCCCCTATGGTTGGAACAGGCGTTGCGACAACCCTTTTTTAGATAGGTGTGACAATCGATTCTCCCCATGTGTGTGGTATATTTTCAGTTTCCCAGATCTTCGAGAACAAACTCACAAGTTATCTTACGAGAGCTTCTCTACTACCTTCAAAGAGGGCAGGTGGTAGGTTGTTTGATCCAGCTGCTTTGTGGCTTTTCAGGGCTTGGAGTTCCTTTCGTATCTCCGCTTCTGTGGGCGGTCCCGTGGATAATGACCAGGGTGCACTCTCAAGAGAACTGCTTGGGGCAGCTTGCGCTGGGGGCTGGTTGAACTGCGATGTGAAGTGCTCGACCCAGCGTTCCAAGCATCAGTGAAGGCTGTTTATTAGCGTGCCGTCTACTTCGCAGATTGTTTCACTAACGCACTGTCTTTTGGGGCCTGTAGCACGGCTGAGCCAGAATAGTTACCGGGTGTTCCCACACCTAGTCGCTGATTCCATCTCCTTTGCACGTAGCGTCCACCAGGCCTCCTTGTGAGTTCACGCTTCAGGGAGAGGCGCTGTTCGTTGTACTCGCGGTCTGCTGGGATTGCCCGACGCGCGTCGAGGAGTCTGAGAGAGTTGGAGGAGACACAGTGGTTTACAACTCGGCGGGTTAAGCCACAACTGTGTAAAACAGCTGAGTGCATTGCGTTTTGAATGATTGTCTAGTGTTGATCTATGCTACTTGGTGGGGTAGTAGTTAGCCTTGCGGCCAACTCGTTTTGATAATCGGCTAGCACGGCCTCGTCAGAAAGGTTGGCGACGTCAAGCTGTTTGCATCGCATCTTTTTGCGGCCACCAAATCGCATAGACAATTTAGCACAAACCAGTGCGTGGTCGGAGTCCAAGCAGGTAGACCAATACGAACGGCAGTCTTTAGCACACCCTCTCTATCGATAGCTAATAGCTATATGGTCAATCTGACTCCACATCTGTGCAAAAAAGGGGTTACGCCAAGTGGCGAGGTGACGTTTAGAATATTTGAAGTTCATGCTAACGCGGAACAGACCGTGTTCTGAGCATATGCTAAGAAGTTTATCCCCATTATTTGA